AGACCTTGTACTTGAGTAAAAGTAGAAGTACTCAGATCTTGTACTTGAGTAAAAGTAGAAGTACTCAGATCTTGTACTTGAGTAAAAGTAGAAGTACTCAGATCTTGTACTTGAGTAAAAGTAGAAGTACTCAGACCTTGTACTTGAGTAAAAGTAGAAGTACTCAGATCTTGTGCTTGAGTAAAAGTAGAAGTACTCAGATCTTGTACTTGAGTCAAAGTAGAAGTACTCAGATCTTGTACTTGAGTAAAAGTAGAAGTACTCAGATCTTGTACTTGAGTAAAAGTAGAAGTACTCAGATCTTGTACTTGAGTAAAAGTAGAAGTACTCAGATCTTTTACTTGAGTAAAAGTAGAAGTACTCAGATCTTGTACTTGAGTAAAAGTAGAAGTACTCAGGTCTTGTACTTGAGTAAAAGTAGAAGTACTCAGATCTTCTCCTTGAGTAAAAGTAGAAGTACCAGAGTGTAGGAATACTCTGTTACAGTAAAAGTCCTGCATTCAAAATGTTCTTCAAGTGAAAGTATAAAAGTATTATCATCAAAATATAGTGAAAGTAGTGACAGTAAAAGTATTCATTGTGCAGATTGGTCCATTTCAGAATAATATATATGATATGTTTTATAATGATTGATCATGAAAGTGTTCTCAAAGCTGGTAAAGGTGCAGCTAGTCTGAATGACTTTGTATACTGCAGGGTAGCTTGTGGATTTACTCCAGGTGGAACTAAAGTCTGATTTAACACTTGGTTAGATTTCTTGCTTCCTAACACCTTGCCTCCTCTTCCTCAATATTTCCAGTTGTACTCACAAAAGGCTCTAACTCAAGTCAAAGTGAGCTCGATGTGTTTCTGTTCCCCCTCTGGGACTTTATTCTTGTATATTTGAACCTGTTTTACCAAATCCTAATTTCCATTCTCTTGACTCTTAATAAAATGTAGTAATAATGAAATATATAAAGTCTTCTCGCTCCACTATACTGATATGTCTAATGTCTGTGTAAAGCGATTTGAACCGCGCTGCTTCTAAAATGTGCTTTAATTAGCCTCACCTTAGTGATGGAGGGCATTTTGATGATTTCTTCTTCTTCTTCTTTGTGTTTTCCGTTGCTAGGAACCGACCCCCCCCCCCCCCCCCCGGACGATGAACGTAGCATTTGGTCATTGAGAAAACACACCTGGGTTAATAATAGTAATGACACTGCAGCTAACACGCTAATAATGACGGAAAAAAACCCAAAGTGTGTCCGCTCGACCTTTAATTAGTGACCGCTGATGTCACGTTCCGCCCCCCCACGACCTCACCCTACCCCCAGTGTTTCTATGGGAACACAGAGGTGCATTTCAAGGGTAACTTTGGGATTCATCAGAGGTGGAAGCACTCAGACTTTTACTTGAGTAAAGGAAGTTACTTATTAAAACACATGCGTTCAAAATCTGACTGAAAAGTACAAATGCATTGAAGTCAAACTGAACTGCAGGTACGAAAGGTAAAAGTAGGCCGTCCTATATTGTGTGTTTTATCCCATTTCTGAATGTTAATAAACCCATAGTGAGTTTGTTGTTATTGTCAACATTTGAGAGGTTTTAGGACTTTTCTGAAGTTTCTGAAGCTTTGTTCTTAAAACAAAAGGTCTTCTTACATTAAAGACCTGGTATTTTGTTCTATTAATCCAGCTCAGTAGCGCTAACTGTTAGCTGTTAGTGTGTAGTTGTTAGCCGTTAGTCTTGGCAGCTAGCCGTTAGCTTTTAGCAGTTAGTTTTAAGCAGTTAGCCGTTAGCTGTTAGCCGTTAGTTGTTAGCCGTTAGTTGTTAGCCGTTAGTTGTTAGCCGTTATTTTTAAGCAGTTGTTAACATTTAGTTGTTAACTGTTAGTTGTTAGCTGTGAATGAATAGTTGTTGTTAGTTGTAACTGCGTAGCTGTTAGCCGTTCGTTTTTAGCAGTTAGCTGTTAGATGTTAGCCATTGGTTTTAAGCAGTTAGCTGTTAACTGTTGGTTGTTAACTGTTAGTTGTTACTTTTTAGCTCTTAGCTGTCAGTTAAGAGCTAAAAAGTAACAACTAACAGTTAACAACTAACAGCTAGCAATTGATAGCTGTTAGTTGTTAACTGTTAGTTGTTAGTTGTTACTTTTTAGCTCTTAGCTGTCAGTTGCTAGTTGTTAACTGTTAGCTGTTAACTGTTAGTTGTTAGCCGTTAGTTGTTAACTGTTAGCTGTAAGTGCGTAGTTGTTAGCCGTTGAATTTAAGCAGTTAGCTGTTAACTGTTAGTTGTTAACTGTTAGTTGTTAGCCGTTAGTTGTTAACTGTTAGCTGTAAGTGCGTAGTTGTTAGCCGTTGAATTTAAGCAGTTAGCTGTTAACTGTTAGTTGTTACTTGTTAGATGTGAGTTGCTAGATGTTAATAGTTAGCTTTTAGCTGTTAGCTGTTAGCTGAGTGTCTGAGGTTTGTTTTGGCTGCTATAGCTGGACAGGACTCAGGCAGCATTCATGCTAAAGTTTAAACTCACATAAACTGCTATTAAGGTGAGAAATAAGTAGGGTTTCAGGTGAGTCATGACTTTGGCTCTCGTTCTTTTTGGGTTTTAATTTTGGACCAGTTTCCTCCCTAATTTCTCCGAGGCAACGTGGACATCACACTGACCGATGGAGAGGACAAACTCTCAGGTCAACAGCCAATCAGGGTTCAATCCTTTGAATGACTTCTGGTGACGGTGGTTACCAACTGGGGAATTTATTTGACACCTAAATGAAAGATGTAAGAAATCAGATGATCCAGATGGAGTAACAACAATTACTGCACATTTTTAAAGAAATGTGAAGTTCCTAGAGGATAAAATACGATGATCGTCGACTCAAAGTCCAGCTTCCAGCATTCGTCAAAAAAGCTGAATGTTAAGTCTCACAATCAGATGGTTTTATATTAAATTAACCAGAAAAAGAATACTAAAACGCTCTCAGAATGAGTACAACA